ACGGGTCTCAGGAACTGAGAAATCTTCCTCAGGGGCTTGAAATAGGTCTTGATAGATGCATGCCTGAGGACTCTTCCGATCTTATCTGTAACACCTCTTCTCGTCTTCGCTCGACTGTTGGTCCTCGATTTAAATATAAATAAAAAAAATAGTTTCATTTCCTATGTGTAACAATCGTGAAAACCTAAGAACTCAATCTTGATCTTGAAACTTAGTCTTGATCAGCGAAGTGGTATCCTCGAAGATGCCGATGATTGTAATTTATTAATACGGGAGAGCTTGAGTTACAGTTTGCGTTTTTAAGAACTCGCCTAGTACTGGGAGCCAGTTGTTTGTTAATACAGGCCTTAATAATAATAATAATAAATCATCTGAGTGAGACGACAGTCTAAATAGATATACTAATAATAATGGTAGTGCCCTACAACTACAGGAATCAAAACCAGGTATGGTTTCAAATTAGGAAGATCCCTGGACTGGATATGAGTTTCACAGCAACGAATTCATTCCGAGTCACTGCACATCCAGATCCGGACCGTTTTAAAAAAGTGCGTTTCCCAAATTGTCCTTACCGGAAATCGAACCTGGGACCTCCGCATCTAGTGCTCGTAGTGTTACCGCTGGGCCACCGAGGTCGTCATTTAATTTAATTTCATAAAAAAAATAAATGTTTAATAAAGGAAATTAAGACTTTATTATAATGCATATAATAGAGCAAGGCTGTGTTTCCAATTTTTGGTTTTTTTTACAATTCACATGATATTATTATTGTATCTATTTCATTTCTATGATATAAGTAAACATCCTCACAAACATAAACGCCAGAGTCGACACGCTAAGAAGAAGATCTACGACATGTGGCACCAAAAGTTTAAAGTTATTTAAAATATAAAGAGAATCAGCCATCGATTGTTATTTATTATTTTGTGGATTTAATTAGCATTCAGAGCGTCAGATTGTAAAATTACACTATGATTTACATGTTAGATACTTGTGTGATTAAATCATTTCATACAAAGAGAAACAAACATCATCCACATTTTTAGTTCGCTTTGTTTGAGATGTCATTTTCTTGTTGCATACGGGGAATAAAAGTTCTACGTCATGATTTCGAATTAGCAGTTTTAATTTTGTCTTGGACCCACGTTGGGCGCCAAAGTTACTTATGAACTTAAAAATATGTGACAAGTATAAATGAAACAATCATACTAAATTAAAACGTGACTATAATTCTTTAGCATTGTATTAAAACTGTAAATAAACAAAAAAGTGTTATTTTCTTTAAAATATTTAGAATGTACATTTGTGCTCTGAACTTACCGACTTCGTCTTTTTGTCACAATTAATTCACATTAAAGTTTTGCGGTAACAACAATATATAATATAAGTTACGTTTCATTTAACATTTAAAAAAACACAGGGTTTCGTTGAACACTGGGTAAATTGCACAACACAGCAAGAGGGCTGGCTTCATACTGCCGAGCAACTAGTGGAATGGTTTCGACTTACCCGTTGCTTAACCGTGACTAATGGAGGGTCGTTTGCATTGTTCATTTAAGGAGTCTCCTTCTGGCAGTTGCAAAGGTGTACATATATACTAGTTATTGAAACTAAGCCTTTTTATTCGTATAGTATAGTATATTTACTCTACATAGTATATAAGTATAGTATAGTAAACGAACGAACTGCGGCAGTTCCCAATTACAGTTTTATTTGCTTTGGCTATATTACGCCTTCTCGTGCCGTGACTGTACGCTGTGCAAGGCACGAAATGAAAAAAGACACGCAGGGTTGCTTATTACGCTATTCCCTCGAAATTAGTCGACAGTTTGAGTAATTATTCGTCGGTTTGTATCTTCTTGTATTCGTGATCGGTCGATGAGCTTTAGCTTTCTATGGAAGACAGTATTGAACAACCATCCGCTCACACGTGAGGAACATCACTTTAAAATAATCTAAAAATGTAAAAGTGTTCTTATTTTGGTAGCTTTAGTAAAACCTTTATACAATGTCCATGAGTGCTAGAATGATGCGGTATGTTCTATGTTATATAAATATACTAATTAGTTCGTTATAAACTAAGTCAGGAATTACTTATTCACCTATTTAAGATATCTAGGTACAATCAGAAACTTGATTTCACCAGCGCAGTCACGCGTGTGATTTCCAGTATTGGGTGTAGGCGGGCGGTCGGTCGTAGTCAGTGAGTTATGAGACACTTTAAACTTTGAAGTTTCCACTTGACTACAGGTACTATAATTATATTGTTTTCCTCGCATCTAACAGCGTAGGATAATGTGCTACAAACGTTTTTCAATGATTAATATTGAAACTGGTAAACAGTCAGATTGTTCATAATAGTGGAAAGTGGTAGCTATATAAACGTGGCCCCTTGAAAAGTACACATTTATTATCGCAAATGCCTGCCAATTATTGGACACAAGTTTTTAAGTATACTATGTCAGTGATTACATTGGTTCTGTCTACCCTTCTATTCGGGAAATGGCAGGATATCTTTGCAGTAGACCAAGTAGGGCAGCCCCATTAATTTCTATCAATATAAGTTTTGATTATAGTGACCCTCCCTACCGGCTCTTAGAGTATACGAGAAGAGCATTACAACCTGTGCAAGTACCCTCGCAGTCAGGTCCTAACCCCAGATCAGCCCGTTTGCACAGACTTCCACCGGTTCTCAAAAGGCTAGTGCTTTGGGTGAGCTGCCCCGGGTGCACGTACAGCACCCTCCTATTTTCCAGACAAGTACCGGAGGTGCAGGCACACGCACTTCCCGTTGCGCAATCGGTTGCCACCGTTAAACCTAATCTAAAGTTTACTAATAATTCTCTTCTTTGGTGGCGGAGCTGTAGGCCCGCTCACCTCCCGACGCCGAAGTACCATACGTGGTTGCAGGGACAGGAGAATATCTAGTTCATCCTAGGTAGGACTGTGGTGCCAGAGCAGAACCCGCTTAGGTCGTTGAACTCTGCCACCCGTTATAACCAAGCAACGTTTAGGTACGTGTTTTATTGTTATACGCTGAAATCCGACAACATGAAGATACCAGATATTTTGATTTATAATGGTATATATTGATTATAAGGGCCATAATAAACAAAGGTTTTTAAACCTAAACGGTCTTTATTTTATACTTTACTGTTGGTTGAACGCATCGCACATTATTGTCTACCTAAAATCGAATTTAGTAACAAGTTTACGAGTCATTTTTGCAATGTTAACTGAAAATTTTCTTCTAAATCCTATTTAGCCAACGTTTCTGTAGCGTTTCTTTTCTTCTTACGTTAAAGACAAAGAGTTCACATTTGCAAGTTTTCATGGAAATATGTTTTGTTTCAAGTATTATTCGATGCACGCGACGGTGGGTGGCATAACAATAATTAATGAATTAGGGAGAAACACGACATTTTAAAGACATTCCGCAACATATGGTATAATAGAGAAAGACGGTTTCCGTTCATGTTCCGTTCATGGAGTTTTTACCTTACAATATAAACTCTATTCGGACAATGATAGGGATCTATATAGTTCTACAGAAAAAAGACAGCCCAATCTTAAAGCATTTCATTTAATGCATATGCCGTAAACATTTATTATCAAACATTATACGTAGGTACGTTTATCACAATTTCTATATACCTATAGGATATTAAATTTGTCTTTATATGTAATTATTATACTTTACAGTTTCATATATATTATTTCACTTAAAAAAAAGTTATTTAAGTGAAGAACTTTCTTTGGGAACACAAAACGTAAAGTAATAAACAAATTTGAGTGGCAGGTTGACCTGGCCTTTTTTTATTTTTATTATCATTTTTTTATTATTCTAGGGAATCTGCTTACAGATACCCCGGTCCTGCGGGGGCAGAGCCGGGGTTATGCGGGATTGGGTTAAACCTCGAGGGGAGCAACCCGACTGCACCAAATCCTCGGGGTGTTTCCCTATTCCGCTGCAAGTAGAGGCACGGGTACGCTATCGATCGTCCGCGCCTCCACCAGTGGCTGGCCGCGCCCAGCGCATCTCCTTCCCCAGAAGGGAGATACAACGGTCCCTCGACTCCAAATGTAAGGCTCGCCGAACAACAGACGAGTCTTCCATCTCGGGGCCCTTCATGTTGGGCAGCGAACTTCTCCGAGTCGGCTACCCAGGGGCCACGGGGCCAGGACAACAGTCCCTCAACGACCTGACCTGGCACTCGAAATTGTTTATCTGTGTGGTGGGTGTATATGTCTGTAGTTTCCAACGTATATCGCGTAGCTTAAAATATCTACAGACCTGCACCTAGTAGGGTAGTTACGTACGTAATTAGATTTTGTTTGAGGATTAGGGATACTATGGCAAAATATTGCAATCACCTTGACAGTTAAGTAGGTAATAAATAAACATTGCGGACGCTTAGAATGTTGCCTCGACAATATTTGAGCTGTTCCTATAGAGAAATTTGAAGATTCTTTACTTATTCCTAAAATCTCTTCTTTACTGTCTAACGTTTGGCATCAGTCGTCGTCACGCGCGTCGTGAGACAGATGGAAATTTGTTGAAAATGAGCCGCGCTCCGGTCGGGGGCGTCTCAGCGAGG